AATCTCGAACATTCGAGATGATTCCCATAAAAAAACGATATCAAACCTGGATGAGAAAAATTAATAATTACTGCTTCTAAATAAACAACCCCCTCCCTTATGTCCGAATCAATATTTTATTATTTTTTTGTTTTTATCTTTATCTATATTCTTTAACGGTTTATAATTTAGTTTATAATATACCATTTCGTTTTATAATTATCGATTTCATTAAAATTGAGAAAAAAAACCCCCACCCCCCTCTATCCTAAAAAAATTTAAATTTAGAAACAATATGAGTTTGAATAGCCCTTTATAATAAAGATTTCCTATTCTCTGAAGATTTTTTCTGAGAAGGTTCAAACAAACAAGTTTTTTTGTTCAAATTATCCCAAAATTTCTAAATCTTTCCTGTTTGTAATGATTAAAAAGATTTTTTTAAAAAATAATTCAAAATTTTTAAGTTCAATTAAGAATTTAGACAAATCAGCTGATTATAAAGCAGTTTACTTTGTCCAAGTTATAGGAAGAAGTTAAAACCGTTTGCTAGTAATATCATAAATAAAATATTTCAAAATTACTTATTATTTGTTTTTGCCTCTTCCAAAATATATATATATTATTTTTTTATTTTTTTATAATTTATAATGGTTTTTATATTATGAAATAATTAGTAAATTACTATTTTAGTTTATAAAATATTATAATAATAATATATTTTCCCTCCTCCAAAAAAAAAATTATATTAATATGTAAAGGTTCATTCGAAGCTCTAGACATTACAGTTAAGAAAAAAAAATTTTTTTTATAATATAATTAAGGAAGGGTCTTTGACATTTTAAACTCAAAGGAAAAAAAAATATAGCATACATAGTTTAATGTATATAAAAAAAACAATAATAGATAATTTTTTAAAAAAAAATAATTCCTTTGACAAGAAAGATGTTTAAGTAAAATTGAGATAAGCATTACAAGAAGAGGAATGATATAACAGAGCAGTAACTACTAATTGGGATTTTAAAATTAAATTTATTTACACACTCCCCCAATATTAAAAAAAAAAGGAATTTTAATATTCAAGTTTCAGGTGGCAGCAAAATAAGTGCCGATAAATTTTTGTAGTTACAAATTTTAGAAATGTAACGAAAAAGTAACTGGGCTAGCCTCATTTACATCCAAACATCCCTGTAGAAAGTTTGATTAGTCTAGGGAGGCTTATATTTTTTGATAAAGACACCTGTTAGTATCACCAACTTCGAAAAATAGTTTATTGTTAATAAAATTATATAAATAACGAAAAATAATAAATATTTTAAATGCAATTATTTCTTTATTTAAACTTTATTTCATTTATATTCTCCTTCGATAAAAGTTTAAAAATTGTGAAAATTATTTTGTATAATGAGAAATAAAAAGATGATATTAATGCAGTTATATAAAAATATAACGTTACTTTTAAAATGTAACTGAAAATAGTTACCCTTTTAAAGATTTAATTAGTAACTGTAAGTAGTTACACTTAAAATATTATTTACGAATTCGGAAGATACATTATTTTTATTACTTTACTTTAAAAAAAGAGAGAAGTGGATTTCATTTCAAACCACCTGTTTCCGCTCCCAAACCTGGAGATGAATTATCTGTCCAAGCTAAAGTTGTTCAGAATCTAACCGACCCGCAAATCGAAATAAACCGTAATTGAACCGTAAAGGAGAAAACTTAACCATTACAAATATTATCGGTTGGTTTTAAAAATTTTAAATAATATTTTAAAAATTATAAATATTAATTCGTTCTAAAACAATTTTTTTTAAAAAATTAAAAAATATAATACAAATTTATATGAGATTTGATTATGTTACTTAATTTGTTGTTTATTATAAATATATATTATTTAAGGAATTCAACTTATTTTCTTTAATTCTTTGTTGTTTTTTATTTGTTTTTATTAGATTTATATGGGTCAATTTAAGAGGTTTCTTTTAATTTTCAAATTAAGATAAATTTAAGTGCCTCCTTCAAAGGGTTGTAATTTTTAGTTAAAATGTACGAATATTATATAAACTCAGGCGTAACAGGCATCCCTGCAGACCTCGGCTCATGTCAAAATTATGCTAAAGGGGCCTCAAGTTATAGGGAAAGGCTTATAATATTCATTATTATTTAGCAAAGGAGGTCCCTATATTTTTGCGTATCTTCTCTGCATTTAGAAGATTTAAGTGTTTTTTTTACAATCTAAATACTTCAAATGAATAGGTACATTTCAGAGCCCTTTAAATCCTATTAATCCAATGACCCTAAGACATCGCCACCCGATGACTAATATATAAAATAAATTATATTATAAAATGGACACTAACTAGGTAAGAGGTTGCCTAAGAGGGTCTGAATTACCAAATTTTACTAAATGGTATCGCACCCCTATATTAGAAGATTGACCTTCAGTGCGTTTGGATCTGGCTAATTAATAACCCTTTTTTGCGAAATTGTTTAAAAATATAGTATCGTATCCAAATTTAGATCAGGGCTCTCTAACCCAGACGAGGTTAGGGTGGGGGTACGATTTAATTGCGTCAGTGAAAATAGGGGGAGTAATCCCATTTAGTCAACATACATAATCTATACCCATTTCAGGTGATAGCTCAACTTAAGGAATTTTCAACTGAAGGAGATTATTATTGATTGGATGAAATTAAAATTAAATAAGTGTCTGAACTAAGGAGTAGGATTAAAGATTCGAGAGATATATATGGCTAAGGTTACCTACGATATATTAAATATCGTTTTTAATCTAAATTCTATCAATGATATTATAATAATGTGTTAAATCTCAAAGGTCATGTGATTATAAATAGACGGATAGATATTTAAATAAATCAGCTGTTGCAACTGCAATTACCTTGTGTTGGATTTATACTCTCCATTTTATAATTAAATCGTTTTTTATATTTTAGTCATCAGGAGGGGGAATTAACGTCATGAGCTTAGGAGTTTTTTTCGAGCTTTATATAACCTGTTAATGTTTTTAGAGGGGGAAATAACAAAATTTTTTTTTAAAAAGAGTATATATTTGAATGTAGAAAAAGGTAATACAAATCAGTGGTCTTCAAAGTAGCAAAATTCTCAAGTCCGACATGGTGGGAATTTGGTTTTTATCCGGCTAGGTCTGTCCGGCCCGGCTTCATTTTTTTTACTGTGCTTGTCAGGCCCAGTTTTTTATAATCCGTATGTTTTTTTTAAAATATAGTCCCTAACCTCACATATTTATAGCTGAACACCAAAATAAACAACTATTTATAAAATTAGGGGAAACATTATACTTTATGAATTATAACTTCTATCATATCAGAATTCGTCATTAAATGTTATATATTACAAAATATGTCTATTTCTGTCAATAACAATTTCTTATTTTGTGATCAAATTAAAATTTAAAAAAAAATCGAATAATAGTTTATCATCATTAGAATTATTAGCCAATAAAAAGAAATTATTTTAACAAAAATTAGATTTAAGAATAATTATATATTCTCTAATCACTACCAAGCGAACGGGCATCTCTACTTTTTGCCCAGCCCGGCCTATTAGACCACTGATAAAAATTTTACTTCAATTTATAAGCACTATAGAATTCAATTTTTTTTTACGAATAATTTAAGTATTTCGCTATTAACATTACAAATATTCAGGAATATAGAATTGTGTCTATCATATACGCCCAATGCGAGTAAATGGTTCCCCCAGATAATTTGAGATCTATGCTTTCAAAACTACATTTTATTTGTATTACTTTTAAATTAAATAGTGAGCTGAGAATATTAAATACTCAATTTATTCAATATTTATCTTAAAATTACTATCATGATATATAAGCAATTGCTGTATATCTTCCTTAATTTATATTCTAAAATAAACATATTTATTAGTCTTTAAAAAAAGAGTACGTATAAAAGTTTATATAATAGAGACAGACTTTATGCTGATTTTCAAAAAATGATTAATCGTACCTCTTCCCTGGAAACTCCTGGTAACCGCCCAGCACAATTAAAATTATAACTGGCCAATCAACCCAAATATAATCTAAATATGAACACGTAAAAAACCAGCTAAAAATGGAACATAGCGTTTCAAGATCCATTTTTCTTACTTTAATTTTATTCTAATAATTTCTTCTATTCTTAACAACTTTTAATAATATTTGTATATCATCGCTCTCTAAGAGATTAGGCTCCAAAATCCGAAGAAAAAAAAGCTAATCTAGTAAGAGCAATATCTTGAGGCGAATGTTATCTCCAAGCGTTGAAATATATTTATACGTTCCACGATAATGAATAAATATATTATTTAATTTGGCATTCCAATCTGCAAATGACGTCATAAAGGATTTAATGAACGAGAAGTTAATAAAAAATTTTATTGCCAAAAGAAAAATAATTATATATTATAAAACATATTGTGAATTTCAAAATTTTGCAAGATATTATATTATAAAGTATAATATTATAAAATATTAATGAGTGTTCCGTTAAAATGATGATGGACGCGGCTAAATATTTTTGAATAGGACCAAATACCCTCGAAGAAAAAAGTCACTAGAAAAAACACTCTAATTTTAGGGGGGAATTTTACAGTGTTCAAGGACAAACCTCCGACCTAATTACCCCGGATAAAAATTCTCAAAAAATGAAAAATAGTGGATAGAAATTCATTAAATTGATTAATTTTATTAAATCTAGATAAATACATAGATGTTTATATAATCTCGGTTAAACATTTAGATAACAAGGACCAAGTAGAGAATGATTTATGGATAACCAATCGAACCCAGGACCCATGGTATGCACAAACTAGTGTTGTAATAAATTTTTGCTAAAAAAATAACATTAAGTGGTTACTTTTGAAAAAATGTAACTAGTTAAACTATAACTTAATAAAATGCATGTTCAGACCTGTAACTTAATAAAATGCATGTTCAGACCTGGATGGATTTAGGTGCTTTTCAAATGATTTTGATTAAGTTTCTCTTATCAAAGTTCCTGTAATATAGAATTCAAAATTCCTGAAAGCGGATTTGAAGCCCTGGTCTTATAGTGATAATACTTTTTTAAACGATGTACTAGAAAGAGATATATATTTTAAATATAAAAAAAATTAATAAATGATAAGAAAAAAGGGTCCTGGCTGGTTGAGTAGAAAAATTTCATTTTCTAACCAGGCGGGTAATTAATAAAGATTGTCCACACCCGGTGTTTAGCTTATTTTCCCTCTCTGCAACAGTCCTGACTTATAAAAATTTCTTTAAGGATCGGATCAACTGCTTTGAACCCGGCCTAGATCTGTGTCTCAAAATATATTTACAAAGGATGGGTTCTGCTCTACTTGTAATTATATTTAAAAAATTGACCCCGTATTTTTGCTACCTTTGAACTACCCTTAATTTATATTATTTTTTTGTATTTAAGTTTTTTAAAGATAAAATAAACCTGAATAAATTATTTAAGTTAAAATTTACTAAAGCCTAAATTTATTAAGAAACTATGGGAATATAAGATATAGAAACCGGAAATGTGTCAACTATTTATGATCAATCCCGCTTGGAGTGCCTGATTTCAAGCGCGTAGCCAGCAGGGGCTCCTAAACTAAAAAAAATGCAGATGATTAAGATATTTTTTTAAAAAGCCTACCTATCAAGTAATCGCGTATTTTATGAAGTTTAAGGAACCTATTATATAAGTGCTAGTTGAAATGGCAGAATGGCCCGAGAAAGACTTTCTTCAAGAGAAGATGCATTACTAGGTACTTAGACTTTACCCAATTTTCCTTTACATTAAAATGTATCAAAAGATTATTTAATTATTACTAGTATTTTATCCACGCATACTCTTTTAAAAGAATATTTATTTATGAATTTGATATTCACTTACCTTGACCACACTTGCACATTAATTATTGTAAGAAGAATATTATAAAATAAATATCTTTTATCCAATCCCATTTTTTTAGGCCTACATTTAGCCGTTAAACATAACCCATGAGATTTCCAAAAGAGCGCCAAATCCTTCTTTAATCTTTTGCCGAAATCTTGAGAGTTGTAGGTAATATTTTGTTGCCTAAAATATTAATTTATCAGTTTATTAATAATCGGTTGAATCGAGTGGGATAATCTAATAAGATTATATGGCTTATCCGTTAACACTTGCACAAATGAAATAATATGTTTTCTTAAACCTCATAAAAATCAAAACTTGCCACCAATTTTTTTTAAAAAAAACCTACCTAAATCAAGGTTTTAACTAACCAAATATTACCTAAACCCTCGAGATTTCGTTGGAAAACTGCAAAACATTCCCCCGTTTCGATACAAGGGATAAATATAATTTCCGTCTATAATCTTGATCCTTTTTAAAATCACCGCATTCGTAGTTTTTAACGATAATACCAAGTACTGATGAAATGATTTAAAACATTTGGCTCATTCATAAAGAGTTTGCCTGTAAAGACCTTGGCTGCTTGTATGCATTATTTTTTGATAATATTCCTGGGTAATCTATAACCATATGAATTTTTTTTTAAAATGTAAATTATAGATTAAAAATTGGGCCAATTTTTTCTAATATGTAACTCTTATAAAGTTATATACATTTTAAATGCTCAAAAAATTAATATTTATTGTATAAATTTTTTTACGGCACATATTTATTTAGCCGAAAAATATTCTTAAACACTGTATTATATAAACGGTTATATAGTGTTGTTAAACAGCGTTTTGAAGCGATTTTTTATAACAACTAACTCAATATTTTAGCTATAAAAATATCGCCCAAGCCTCGAGATTTAGATACTATATATATAGACCTTTGTTCTTTCTATGAGCAAAATCTTCAGGTTTGCGTTTATTTTTCTGGATGATATATTGAATTAGCCGTCTTTAAAAATCGGCTCAAAACTAGCCATTTAACAACACTACGGTTATATTCTTTTAATAATTTATAACAGCATTTTTGAGAATAAAATCATATTTATAAGAATTTATTTTATATTTAATAATTTTACATATTATTTAGGTCTTAAGTAAATTGTAGATTTTTTTAGCCACAAAGCCCTAATAAATTTACTAAATCTTGAATTTTTTTTTTTATTACCTCCCCACCTCTCCCATCTTAAAGCGAATTTCTGGCTATGCGCCTGCCTGGTTCTAAAACTAATCCTAAAAAATTAATATTTTACTTTATAATTTTTAATAATTTCAAAAAGTGTATTAATTTTTTTTTTTGCCAATAACTTATATAGATCCAATAAAATTATGGAATGTTATAACCAAAAAAATTAAATAATATTTTGCCAAAATAATAATTTTTTTTGAATCAATCCTATTTATATATTGATTTTAAAAAATTAATTTAATTTTAAGAAAAATGATGTAATATTAACTACAAGGACAATATCGTATTTTATTTTTTTTGATAAACTTAAAATTAAAAATAAAAAAGAGATTAAAGTGAGTATTAAATTTGTAAATTAAGAATTTTATTATTACTTGGATTGTAATCAATTTCCGTTAAGGATAAATTGTATTATCAAATTCACCTCTAATATACTAAATATTATGATATATCTTTGGCAACCCTTAATTATAAATTGAAAATGAGCCCAAAGTTGTATATTTGGCATGTGAATTAAAGTTGGAAAATTTTTTATATAAATATTTTTAATTTTCTATTACTAAGATAAATATCATCAACTTAATAAGTCACATTATATAAAAAAATATATATTGATTGAGACTCCTAACATATCTCACTTTCAAATTTTTAAAAAGATGACAAATGAAATAATAAACATAATATAAATTAGTATCCGCCATATTAATAAGGTTTGATTTTAATACCAATGCAGTAGCGTAACTAAACTTTTTCCTTTGGTAGTGCTCAATTATGATGCATTAAAATTACGTATTAGAAAGAATAGAGTATTAAGACCCAAAATTTTATTGCCTGGAGATTTTGCTAATAGATGGCATCCGTCACATTATTTTGGCTAAATTTTAACTAAGTCGTTTATAAAAATCGGCCTGAATCGAGCCTTTATTCTAGCTCATAACAGCATACATAATCATTTTTTAATGTATTTGCAAATATACCACATTAAATAATAATTATTAAATATGTAAAATGAATTTTGTTATGCAAATTTGGAAACATTTTCTGGAAGTTTTAAGAAATAGTTTGTTTTTTTTGAGAATTATCTTCTAAATTACTTTTAATAAAACAAATTTTTTTTGCCATTAATAATTATTCATAGACAATTTATTCTGTTAATGGAAATATTATATTGTCAAACATAGAAGTAGGTTATATAGTATTAAACCGATATAATGCTTTATAGATATCATAAAAGCGTTTGTCTAATTCCTTAAATTTTTTTTTTATAATATATCGGAATTTGAATATCAAATGAAAATTTCTTAAAAAAGTATTAAAGATGATTTTTTTAACGATTATTTGGACATAATAGGTATCATAAAAATAAATTTGAATATGAGAAACAATTGGATTTGTTTATAATTTTATAATAGCTTCCAAACAATATTTGATAACTTTGAAGGTTTTGATTTTATAGCCACATCTAGTGGTACAAAGAACTTTAATAGATTTTCATCAACTTCCATCAGTCCATTATTGATGAACCAATGACCAAAGAATAAATTACAAAAGTTTGTAAAATACTTAAAAAGAAACACTACACTTTGAAAAAAAGGTAATGTTGTACTATTCTAGTTATACCACTGTGTCAATTCAAAATTTTAATATATTGAATCTTATAAAAAATATTCATAAAAAAATAACTTTATTTTAAAACAAATTTTATTTTTATATCAATGGCATTTTGTAAATAATGTTATAAAAAAATTTATAAATATATTATGTAATAGATAGCACATATTTAATTTATTAGCTATAATAATTGAAGAGTAATGCTATAAATAAAGTGTTAAACATGAATGTTTATGCATTTTCTTTTATATAATATTATGTAAGGACAGATATAAATGGTGTGATAAAAAAACATCCTTGATAGTAATATAATTGAAATAAATACAAAAGTGCTATAAATTAAAAATATACGAACTAAATATCATTGTGCTATGTAATAATTAATGTTAATACCAATGTCTTACATCTTAATATTGTATTGTAATAGATATTAAAATATTTTATTCATTATGAGTGAAATATAAATAAATTTGTCTGTATAAAAAAAGTGAATCTAGGTGTATCACCTACTTATTGTTCTAAATCTTTTGAAAAAGGTAACCTTTTCATCTTTAGGAGTTGTTAAAGATTTATCATTCTTGGTCAGGGATGATGTAGATAATAATGGGGAATTTGTATTGTTGAATATAGAATTTTTTAAGCGTTTAATACTGTTAATGTGATTTGATGAATTTAACATGCCATGGTCAATATCTTTGATATGTTCTTTCTTTTTAAATTGCAATTCATTAGGTCTTAATAACTTATTTGAAGGTGTATCAGTGGCTTGTAATTTAGCATTTGAACATATGATATGGTCATTAATAAAAATCTGTGATAAATCATTTATTATTGAGGCAGGTGTATTGCAATTGTTAATAAGACCCTTTGTTAAAGTTACATCATTTTCTTCCACCTCACAACTAGTTACAAAAGCCTGATACTCTTCATTAGCCTGAGATGATATTTCAGAAGGATCTAAATTATGAATTTTAAGGCTCAATTTTTCAGAAATGGTTTTTATTAGCATAACCATATTGTTTGAAGAAGTAGGTGTCACATTGGGGGAATTAATTTTAGCTAAATTATTTATCAGATTGTTGTTTTGATGTTGGGATTTATGCTTACTGAATTGATTATGTTGGCAAAGCTGTGCAAAAGCGTATTTGCCAGCTAATGCAATTTCACTATTGAGAGGTGAATGATTAGGAGGGCTAGGTGAGGGTGTTGAATAAGAATCACTAGAAGATGATGTTGTACTAAATTTTTTAGAAGGCAAACTTAATCTCTCCTTTAAAATACTGTCAGGAGGAATAATATGAACACCACAAGTATTTTTGGATATTTCTAATAAAGGTTCACCAGCAGGCTGATTTATTTGATCAATATCATTATTATTAATGTCAGTGCTTGATTTCGATGAGGATTTATTCACTTTAAAACATCCAGCTCTGTGTCTATGAATAGGTTTATGGATTAATTCATCGGTGTCAGAGTTAATAATATTTGAGGTTATTATCTCATTGCTTTGACAATTTTTAATTCGGGTAAAAAGTTTTCTCCTTTTACGTGAGCCATTACATCCACATACACAAGCTTCACATGTGCACTTTGAAATAGAAACTGCGGACTTCTTATTATCACATGATTTGGGGGATAATATCGCACCATTGTTTAATAAAGAATACCATTTTTTGGATGCAGTCGTTAGTGGACACCAATAATCACTTTCAGAGTCAGGTCTAGGTTGAATTTTAGGTTTATCAGTCTTAGATTTTTTTTGGGTAAAAAACTTTTTATAATACCCACTAATTTCATTTCTTTTGCCACTATTTGATGTTGATTTTATAGAATGTTCATCATTAGGGAAAGATTTGGATTTACGTGTTTTTCGAACTGGGGGTGCAGTATGAGGATGAAATAGCATTTCAGGGCCAGAACCCAATCTTTCATCCTCAAATATTATAGGCATAGGTGTTATTACTCTTGAACGTTCAGATAGTGACCTGAATCTTCTGCCATTACCATTTACATTAGGAGTAATACTGGAATTGGGATAAGGCTGGATTATAACACCTGTATTACATTTCTGAGAAGTATTTTTGTATGATAAAACTATGTTAGGAGGCAGTAGTAATTGATTTTTGCTGGATGAATTGTAAGAACTATTATAGTTTTTAGAATTATAAGAATTAGGCATGACCCCATTAAGAACTACAGTGGTGGGGGTTTTATAAATTTTGTTAGAATCGCCAACAATGGATGATGATGAGGATGATGAAGTATTGTGGTGCTTATTACTGTAATTTTTGTAATAATCTGAATTTAATTTGCGCTGTTGAGATATATTGTTCGGCGCGAAGTAGGCTCTTTGAGAAGGATCAAACATTGCTTGCTTCTGCTGTTGGCCATAGTGATTGAGAGAATAATTGGATTTTGGAAGAGGAGTGGGGTAACCTTTACTAGGTCGGGAATAGAGGGAATAATTTGATTTGATGACCGGAACAAGAAGAGCCATTTAACAAGAGATTTATGATTTAAATATGATCCAAATATTTTTCATGATGCCCAAAAATTAATGTTCAGAATCTCTGGAAGTAAATAAAAATTTAATAATTTCATAAATAAATTCATTTTCTGACAAATGAAAATTATGATTTATTTTTAATTCTCAAATTTTTTACGCTAATTTTTTTTGTAATAAAATACGATTGATAATGATTTAATTTATAAGAATGAAAAAAAAAAAATAATGAAATGAAAATTATTTGTAAAAACTTAAAAAATAAATAATTTTTAAAATGCGGGAAAAAAAAGATATAAACAATTTTAATTTTTACGGATAAAAATAAATAAATAAAATCCAATTTACATAAATAATTTATTACCCGGTAGAACCTGTCTAATGTGACCTATTTACAATCAGGAAAACTGGCTTTTTGCAGAAACTTCTTAACGGAGAAAAAAAATTTCGGCTGAAACCCTTAATTCATATTTTCGCGTTTGTTTAGGAAAAATAAGTTAGAAATACGAGATAAAAAAAAACTCCCATGAATTATATTTTACTCATTACAATAAAAACAGGTGTAAAAAATAAATAAAATTAAACTTTTTTTATACTAAACACTAAACATATATGATGCCTGTCTATTTTGAGCACTTATAAATATTAAACTTGATTTTAGTCATTTAAATCCTGATTTTCCTTGTGGTACCAATAACTTTAATTATTAATGGAATCAAATGGTCAAGTCCGATCTCTTATATACCATTCACCCAAATTAAAATGACTCTTACGGGATTCGAACCCAGAATATTCTAAATGAACAAGTGTTACCTCGATCCTATCAAAATTTGGTCCGTTCAATTATCATATGTTATATCTAATATCTAAACATTAAACCAAAAAAAATAAATAGTTAATCAAATAAATAAAAAGGATGATGCAATTTGTTTGTATTGACGTTTTGTTTAAAAAAAAAGGATAAATGAATGAATGAATGTTATTGATAAAAATAATTTGGAACGTTGCCAAAATGTGAAGAAATAATATATTTATTTTTTTAATTTATATTTTAAATAAAAATATCATGGTTGGCTTGTTTCCAATACACATTATTACGTAATAAAATCATTTTATTAACTTTTGTTAGGAAAAAAAAAAGATCATTTTATCAACTAACTCAGCTCACTATAAATTTATTTTTGATAATCTTAGATTTTGTTATTCTTTGCTTTTATTTTCCATTCATATTTTATATATTGTTTTAAAAATATTTCTCTTCATTAGTTATCTTTTAATATCATTTTATTCATATAAATATAATCCTTTTCTTGTATAGTAAAAGGTAAAGGTAGGAATGAATGAAGTGAGGCCAGAGGTCTAATCTTAAAAGATGGGCGTGCGAGTTTAAAAAAAATTTTAAACTTCTATTTGTTAAAAATCATGCAAAAATTTTAACATTTTATTACCAAAGTTCTGACAACCGAGGATGTTGTCGTCGGAAGAAATTTGAAGTTAAAAAAAAATATATCTAGAAAAAAGGTGGATTTAATTTGCATGAAAGAATATCGACGTGGGTGAAAATCTGATTTTACCCTTTCCTTCCACAAAAAAAGCAAAGAGAATTCAATTAAAGGGTATTTAAATTATAAATGCAAAGTTTAAAAATAAATAGGATCAGCGTCAAAAATTAAAACAGAGAGAGGATGTTGTTAAGCATAAAATTTACAGACTTATTTTATAAACGTCAAATTAGCCCTTAAAAATTTATTATTTAAGGAAAAGGATATATTTCAAGCGGATATACTACTTTAGCGGAAACGACAAGAAAAAGATTTACCAAGGCAATAGCTAGAAAAGTATTGACAATTTCAGCACTAGAGCTTCTTCTGAAAGAAGATTTACCATTACTTAAAGGTTTTTAGAACAAGGAAGAACGTGGTTGAATAAAATGTGGATTCATTATTATTTTGTATCACAAATAATATTAATTTTTATTTTCTTCATGATTATTTTATTTGATCAAATAAATTTTTTAATTATAATTTAAATTGAATAATTTTTTCCCCCTAAATTATAAAATTTTTTTGTAGGGGCAGGCATAGCGTTGAAACTGAATCATTTATTTATATTCTTAAAAAAAATGGAAATAATGGGAATATTTAGATTTTGTATAGGCGGGCGAACCAGTAAAATATTTTAGACTAATGGGCGGTCGGTTATATTTTTAGGGGGGGTTGGAAAATTTTTAAACATTAGGCGAGTGGGCTAAAACCCACCCATTGCAGATTTCTAAGGCAAATCCCCATTTTGTGTTTTTCTATATGTAAGTACTGTATTTCCTATATCATCAATAAAAATGGTAATACTATACACAAATCCTTTATTTGGTGTGATCTCTCAGCTAAAATATAGGAAATATTCTTTTTTAGAAATGGTCACCTGAAAAAATATTGAAAAATGGATATAAAACATATTCAACCAAAGATATATGCTATTTTACCTCAAAATTCAATAAAAATGGCAGAAAGTTAAGTTAGCTTGTAAAATATGACTACTGAGAAAAACATCAGGCCAAAATGTTCTCAAGTTTTATTTGCAGTAACAATCTAGAAAATCGCTGGGGTGTTGCAATATCCTATTATTTTTTAAAAAAAATGTGGTAACCTCGGATGGGATTAAATATAAGAATCCCTAGTAAAAATTCTGACTACTTAAAACTGATATAAGAACAACATTTGATTCCATCTTAAAATGTATCTTCACGTCTGACCGATCAGAGTTAGGCCAAATTAGACTAAGATTGGCCCCTGACATGTCAATCAATAAAAAAATATATATTACGAAATTACAGTTGATTTTCGGATAGTAGTGAAAAAAAGTGGCGTGCAACCACAAGAAGGAAAATTATTTTAAAAAATAAAGTCCATTTTAAGATTTCAGAATTCAAGTTATTTATATTTAAAAAAAATTTAATTATCATTTTTTTTTTCAAATTTGTCGTGTTATGTGTCACACTAAGTTTTTTTATGCTCTAAGCAAATTTTTCAAATATTTTTTTTTTAGTCATATCAAATTTTTATAAAAAGGTTTTATATAATAAAAAGACAATCCTTTCCTAAATTTATCAATTTTATTAATAATAAATTGTTTTAAAATAAAAAAAATATAATAAATAATACAAAAAAAGCGCTATTATTTTCAATTTCGCGCCAATTATCTAGCTAATTAAAATAATTTTTTAAAATTATAAATCATTGGGGAAAGGTGTATAATTCTTTTTTTTTATTTTTTGAGATCAGCAATTTTATAATGTGGTTTAATTTTTTAAGTCCCCTTCCAAATTTTAAAAACTCGAGTTTGCTTTTACCGGCTTTTTAGCCGGATTATTTTTGATCGGGCCGGTTTTTATATTTTTGATTATTTCATGACCTAAACACGTTAAATAATTTTGGTTTCTTTTTGTAAATGGTTTTTAAAGGCAAAGAGATGCGAACGATGTTTAATTAGCCAGTCAGGAATTTTTTTAAAGATTTTTTTTTCGGGCCAAAAAATAATTTTGACTAAAACGCATTTTTCAAAAAAAAATTGTGATGAAGATGGGCGAAATTTACTTGGAAGGCCCTATCCATCTAAATATTCTCTCCTTGTGGCCTATTAACGACAAATAAATTTTTAAATTTACAAAAAAAAATAATAGTGAAAGGAATAAGGACTGAAAAAGTTGCACGAAAGGCAAATTCTAATTTATCAATTATATACGGTATCCATTTTGTAAATATTTGAACAGTGTCTAGACTCATGGATTGGAGGGGGGGTGCAGAGAGTAGTTTGTTTACCTTTATTATACTTATTTAAACAACTTGTTATTTTTTTTAAAAATTAATAATTAAGTAGTTCTGTTTTCTTTGTCTCTATTTAAATATTATTATATATTTTTTTAAGATCATAATGGGGAGAAAACGACAATATTTTTATGACAAATCGTTTTTTTTAATTGAATTTTTCATAAATATCGTACCGAAATCGATATCGAAAAACATTTCATTTTTGCCCATGTATATAATTATAATCATTATTCTTATTGCTAATAAAGTAGTCATATTACAAACAAAATATAAAATTTTGTGAAATCATAATTTATTTTAACAAAAACTATATGAGAATCCAATCTGACCAACTCGTATCGATCTGACTGACATAATCCGAGATTCGGTTCGTGTTACTCTTATTTTTAAAATTTTAATTTGGGTTGAACTAGAAATTTTCTTGGATCATCCGAAAAAATCGAAATTTTATCGGATTCTACTAAAGGGAATAAGAGGGGGGGGGGTGAGATAAGAGCTTTATTTGAATAAAATTGGAGGGCGTGGAGTAGTTTTGATTTTCCTTACTTTGTTGGTAATTTGTGTGGGGGAAGGGGGTAAAATATCCGAGTGGAGTAAAATCGTCATTGGAAGGGAGTGTGTAGAATTTGCTGGGTTTTATCATATCTTATATAAATTTCAATAATTTAGTTTAGCAAATGTTAAGACTTAATAAATAAGCTTTTTTTTATATTAAAAAACACTAAAAATTTGATTTTTTAAATTATTTAAATCAAAAATCAGAGGCCTGCCGGCGCGGATCGTAAACCCAACCCGGCTCGAAAAATATTAGATTTTAAAAATCCGATGCGGGCTTAAAAATTATAAAAAATCTTGGCAGGGCTGGCTTTACCTGCTGAAAGATTCACATGATTAAGCGCTTAATATTCATTTACTTATCATATTTTCAATTTCCCGTTTATAATATTTTACAAAATACAAGCCTAAAAACATTCAAAATAACGAAATTCTTAAAAATTATGAGCCGGTCCGAAATAATGATCAAAAATAAAAACTTTAGGGGCTAAAAAATTCCTTAAAAAATGATAATCTCTGAAAATTCAGCTGGCCTGAAATTTTGGCCCTCTGTTTTTTTAGATAAATAATTTTTTAAGGACAAAGAAACAACAAATTTAAATCATGAAAAATTATCAAATGTTTTTACCTTTATTCCTGGAAATTAATAAGATATTTGTTTTTTCTAAATATAATTTTTCGTGAAAAAAATATTTAAAATTTAAATAATTAATTAATTAAATCACTTTAAAAGATTAAAAAAATTTTAAAAAAAATATAATAGTATTATTTTATTTTAAATTTAAAAAAAAACTAATATTTGTTTTGTTTTAAAAAAACATTGTTTTTTATTTGTCTAAAAAAAACGTAAACGTAAGTTAAAAAAAAAAATAAGATACGTAATAAAAAAAATTAATATAATATAATATGAGAATCGATAACGAGAAAAGAAGGCCAGACCTGCCAACGCAATTTGTGTTTTTTGGCCAATATTTCAGAATAAATAAATTATATTTTATATTCACGTGTAAAATATAAAACGTAAGAATCTACAACACTTTCTTCTTTTATTTTTTGTATGACGAAGACGACAATTATGTTACAAACAAAATACAACAATTCCAATAAGAACATTATTTTAAAAAATCCAATAATTGTGTGTAGCAAATGTTTTTCATTCATAAAATTTGGTCCAATAAAAAAAAAGAATATTGTAAATGTATAATTTTGTAGTAAACATCATGGTTAAGGGTTGGTGTATGTTAAACGGCTTGATTTGAGCAGAGTTTTAAAAAGGGTAGACTCAATATTAGCCAGAAAAATATTTAATAAGCCTCGATTAATTTCATTATAATATGTTTAAACCTTTATAGCTAATATATGAGCAAAATCCTAGTTTAAAAATATAATAGTCGCCCAATTGTGAGTTTTCAAACGCTGGTGTTACAAGCGCTAATACATTTCAAATGGCCTCGTGCAAATTGGTAAAATTACCGTTTGGCGTTAGCCTTAGCAATCATTTTAAAAAAAAACCCAAATAGGTGCTTTATTCTTCGCTTTGTAATATATTATATAAAAACGTAATATAAATAACTTACATATACGTAAAAAAGAAAATTTAGAAATTAAAGAAATAAGAAAGCAGACGATAATTTTCTAAGACAAATCCTATTTTTTGTAGAACTTATTCAAAATTTTGAATCAACGGATATTAATAAAAAGGCAACCTCAATTTAAATAAGGGGTGCGCTACTTTTTTTTATCAAAAAATTACGGCAAAACGTAAACGCTCAACTTGTATTCACTATGAGAGTGTGAAAGTTAATTTTTTTTAAAGGGGCGCGTAACGCCTAACCCAATATTTTAGTCTAAAAATATTACGTGAGGCCTCTAGAATTTGTTCATAGTTGGTAGAAAGGACGAAATCTCGAGTCTTGCTTAATATTATTTTAGCGAAAATCTGAATTTAAAATTGGTGAGACACTCTAAGAAAACTACCGAAAAGGTATAACAGGGTTAGGTTAACTAATCAATTTTATTATAATTTTTTATTGGTTTTATAAATTTTTCCTATAATAAAAAACAAAGAATGAATGAATGAATGAATAGGATTGGTTCTCTCTTAATCTCTAGGATTCGAGATTCAAATTTTTTTTAAAAAAAAAACAATAAAAATCGGTCAAAGTTATAAAAAAAAAAGGTAATAAGGAATTAATTGAAATGTCATTAAATAGTCATAAAATATGGAATATAAAAATAATCTTATAAGGTCGTCGTTCTAACTTCTAAGTCACTTTTTAATATCAGCTTTTTATTTCAACGCGGTAAATATAAATTACTAATTCTTTTTTTCATTCCGCGGGAAAAGGATGTATTTTAGCTCATTTAATGATAAAACCCTCATTCGTGGTTATCGCGAATTCGTGCTGACCATGAATGAGGGGTTACCCGGCATCTATGACATATAATTGTAACATTTTGAAAGGTTTGAAAAATCTTTATTAAATAATAAGTTAAAAATATAATCAAACTAAATTAATTAAAAAAAATTAAAATAATATAAAAAAATTAAAATTATAATTAAGTTCGTAAAATCATGATCTCTTTCTATACAAATATCCTCGAATATATATATACTTTTCTATAATTCATTTACATAATGTTTTACAAACAAACTGAAAAATCTTAAACTTTCTTTAATTTGAATAATCATTCTTTTTTATTCCTCTTTCTTTAAATCATTTGCATTCGAAATTTAATTCTTTTTTCTTGAATAGATTTGAATATCCTTCGGCTTTGTAATTTGGTTTAACAATTACAACAATAATAATACCTAGACTGACGATGCATTCATTAAAAGTGTATATCAATGATAAACAGTTGAGGACGCCATTTTGATTACCCATATCATTATTAAAAATTTTAAACGAGAGGCCAATTTATTCCTATGTCTGATGCAAACTTTATTAAAGAATTGCCTGATTATCGAGATAATAAGGAAGCAAGTTATCAATTTAATAGTAGTTTTTTAACATGAGAATAATTACTATATGGGTTACCAAAATGGCGGGTCCAGCTGATTTTCATTCAACGACGATTTCAAATGCATTATTATGAATGCATTGTCAGTCTAGGAATTATTATACGTTACCACGAATTCGCGGTAAAGTATACAAAATAAACAGCATTTTTGTGTATTTATAATACACTTCGCCGCGAATTCGTTCTAACTCCGATATGAATCTAGGGTTATGGATTAAATGAATATTACGTCTTAGCAGGCAATTACAGAAATACGCGAATACGCGCATTTTGGAAAAATGCTTCTTTTTTTTTTATTGATGGGCGTAAAAAAAATCGCAAATATTTGCTAAGACACATACGTCTTGTTTATATTGTTTACAAAAATTTTCTCTAATAAAATTCGCGTATATTTTCTAAGACACACACGTCTTGTTTATATTGTTTACAAAAATTTCTTCTAGTAAAATTCGCGAATATTCGCATTTTTAATTTATAGCTACTTTATAAAGATTTCCTTTCAAAAATAAGTTTTTTTTAGGCAGACATGGGCTCTAGTTTGAAAAAAAAATTCCCGTTTTTAAGCTCGGCTAGGCACCATTTTTTTTGTAAAAATATTTTCCAACATTTTTCAACTTGATTAATCAATCAAATTTTTAAATAATTTTTTAGGACAGTTAGCGATGGTTTAACGCCGGTCATGTAGATCATTTATTAGGAACGTTAGCGGTGGTTTAACGCCGGTCCTGTAGGTCATTTATTAATATAATTATAGATCAAAGAAGGATTAAAAAAAATTTTTTTGGTTTATTTCTTTTTTTAAGACATTTTTGCCAAATTTTTGACGACATTATTATATAATTTTTTTTAAAAAAAAACGGGATATAAAAAAAACATACGACTTTAAAAAAAAATAAATATATTATATATTTCACACTTATTAATATGTCATGTTGTTTTTTTTTTAAAATTTAAAAAGGGATTGGTGATCTATACGTATAGCGCAAGGCGGTGTCGGTAAATTTAAATAACTCCACGGGGAAAAAATTATTTTTATTTAGATTAAAATCACAGCCTTATATAATTGTTGTCCTTTCTGACCGTACTTCAGACCTCGACAAAATTTTTTTGTTTTAATGAATAGCGCCAAAATTTTTAGTTATCTTTAAAGCCTTGTTAAGTTTCCTTCTTATTTTTAACCAGTTAATCTATTTAGCCGTCTATAATAACTTCCTCTAAACCGCTTAAAAAGTTAAAGGCTTAACTAGATTATAACTGATTTTGAACTAAGACATCCCTATACAAAGACGTTTTACCCTTTACCTAAATCAACCTCTTTCCGGTTAAACATAGTACTGTCTAGAAAGAGACGGCTTTAGGATTTTTTTTCTAATATAGCACAACAGTTCAATTAAGAAAAAAAATTCGAATAGGATCGGTATATAAGTGGCTAGTGTGAATAGTATATACTCCATTTCACCGTTTTTTTAAATTGGGTAGAAAAAGACTTTTCCCTTGTCTACTTGATATCAATAAAAATACTTGCATGTGGGCTAGGGCTAGAAGAAAAGTTAACCCAGGAGGGAATAATATAATATGTGTCTCCTAGCCAAAAAATATTTTTTCCCGTGTACTGAAAGTTTGCAATTTTAAAACAATTTAAGCTTTTTAAATTCATCAACCTTAAAACTAATTGTCTTTAAAATTATTTGATAGGTTGTCTGGCGCTATTTATTTCTATATTAAGAATATGCAATATTAGTAAAATAAATTTTTAAAAAAATAGGTTTTTAATAAATATTATTAACATGGCTCATTTTGTCCGCAAAAAAAATATGTCATAATCACTATCCGCCCGTTGTTTTTAACTCGTCCTCTCATAAACCCGTAAGTAGTGCAACCATGTATAGCATGAGTCACTAGGTTAGTTCATCATAGAGATGGCGTTTCCTCCCTTCTTTCTGTTAAAATAATTTAACTTAAAATACCCAATAAACTTATTTATCTTCCAATCTTTGTAATAATTAAATCGTGAAGATTAACGATTGGGAGAACCCCTAATAATAGTAGAATCTATTTAAATACCATGATTGATGTCTGACACAATTTGTTATTAACTAAATTTTTTCAACTGTCTCATATTGTTTCGAGTTATTTAATTTCAATTTTTTTTAAAAATGATTTTATCAATGATAAAAATTGAAATGATAATTATACTGATATAGTTAATATTTAGGTTTTATTCAAATGAATTCCAGGTTGGAGATTAACTGAACGTTATCACGGGAACAAAACAAGCAAACTAATAAAACGAGAATGGTAACACTTTTTTAGACCGGAAACAGAAAAAAAGAGTACGCCACACTGCTATATATATAAGATTTTCAATCTATATAATATCGTATATATCATTTTTTGGATTTCTAAAAATTAACGAACCATTTAATTTAATACACATATAATATAGATACGATGCCATAGTCATAATTATATTAATTATTTTTTATTCTATTTTTGCTCTTTCTGGGAAAAAATAAATTAGACGATTCTTGTAAAAAAAAATCTAATAAATATCAAATATAAATTTCCTAAAAATGATATGCTATATTTAGAAATTGTTTATTAAAAAATATTTATATCTTTGGGGACAAAATTGAATTATGTATGGGAATTTTTTTTTATAATATAAAATTGAGATTAAAATATAATTTATTGATTAATGATTATTTAATTCTAATTTCTTTAATTTTATTATTTTAAAATTGATGA